AACTTGTAAACCCTGGCCACATTTAATTTTTGGGAATATGTTTCAGCAACACTATCCCAAATTTCCTTTGCTGAATTCATCCACAAATAGTGTTGACTAATCTGTGGTTGCATTGAGTTCACAAGCCATCCAATAACAGTATAATTTTCTTGCATCCACTTTTCATATGATGGATCATCTTCCGAAGGAGCCTTTTTGCTCCCGGAGATAAAACCCCATTTGCTTCTGCTACAAATATGAATTTTTACTGATTGTGACCAAGCCAGATAATTAGTTTCATCCAGCTTGACTGTGGTTACAGCCAGAGAGTCTACAGAGGCTCCCGGAACTTGTCCAGATTCAGCAACATGCTTGTTTTCAAAGTCTGAGGAGTTCATCTTCTTAAATACTTCAAAAAATGACTTCAAACAACTTCGAATAACAACAAATGAAGACAGAACAAAAAACTGTGTTGTGAGCCAACCTCTATGCAGCCGTACCAATAACCTGTGTCACACCTGGAAGCTAGGAGAAACAGAGAAAACTCAGCCGCTCCTTGTAGACTTCACATAACACCAATCCACTTGATTCGATCTTCAAGAAGAAGAATGAGAAGGCCTTCAGTCATTGAGCGCCCAGGTCAAACTCCCTGTGGGGCCTGCAATCAGATTTCTCCAGAAAATTCGGGTTTTGGGCAACACACTTGAATCTGTCAAGAGGACGACAAAACCAGTTCCCTTCTCTCCAGAAACCACTAACAACTGGGCTGAAATAGGTTTCTTTAACTATTCATACGATTCAGTTCTCCATACACACTGTGTATGGGAAAAAAAGGTGAAAAAAAAGGGAAAAACGAGCCAGCTCTGATACCAAGAAGAAAAACAGCCTTTCAAGAAGAACGGACTGTTTAGAAAGTTGCAAAAATTCAAAAGTAGCAGAAATCAGAGTTCAAGAGGAGAGAAGAAGAAGAAGAAGGTGGCGACAACTTGGGTTCAGAGAGAGATTTTCGAACATAATCTCTTCTCTTACTCCCTTAATTCTATTTCATTAAGTTAAACTTTAGTAATTTACAGAGAAGCCCCTTGTTGGACAGAAAATTAAAAAGACATAACATAAGAAAGAATAAAGCACAGATTAAGGCCCATTACAGCAAAGAAYATAAAAGATAAAAAAGGATAAACAGCCTATGGGCCATCTACAGATCCTTGTGTGCTCCTTATTACTTATCTTGCTCATTACTTGTTAGATGCCCTAGTAGCATAGTTTTTGTAACACAATCATATTTCTCCTAAAATTTTCTAATCATGCAAGTATAATATTCAGTGAAACTGATTGCAACAATTTTGGATTTTTGTGAGGGCAAGAAATGTATAAATTGCAGTCTGTAAAATACATTGAACTCTAGTAACTCATTTCCACTTCCTTGTCTTGCTTAATAAATGGCTTAATCTTAAAATGTCTATTTCATTCTCATATTTCTATTATCTTTTAATTATAAACTTAGATTTTTTGGGTAAATACTTATAAATATAGAACTGAATAATTAAAAGAGGGGTTTGCGATGAACTTGGGTTTGAAACTTGTATTTTTTATCACTATTCCATGCAGAGAAGGCTTTGGAATCCAACAAACCAGAATATGCTACCTGCAGATCCCTGTTGCGTTCTGGTCCTGTGGCATCTCTACGTGTAAATATTCGAGCGGTAAGTGAAATTTTCTGAAGCTTTTTTTTTATCTTTTTTCTCTTTGTGCTGGCCTACTTCTGGTTACAAGAACAAATGGGTTGTTCTTTTTCTCATATCTTTTGCATCAAATCCTCTTTTAAGTTTTCAAATCGTAAATGTGTGCTAGCTTATTCTGGTTGTAAGATCAGATGAATGGTCCATTTCTAGATTTTTTTTTTGTTGTTGTTTTGTGCACATCTTTTGTAGCAAATACTGCAATCAATCTTCAATTGGTATATTGGACGATAACTCCAGTTTTTGTTGGGTTTTCTGGGCCCTCTGATGGTCCTTTTACCATTGACGTTTATGGTTCTATGGAATATGACAATATGACATGTAGGGACATGTTGGATCCAAGGCCTGTATTTCTACCTGTCTAACATATTTTATCTTTCAAGGAGTTTGAACTCCAAAAGGCTAACTATCAATAGCTGAAATGGGGTGAATGATATAAAACTTGCTTACCAATGCATACTGCATCAAATTATTTCAGTGGAAAGAAATTGGCAAACGTCTTTATCAAAATATGCAGATCCATGCACCTCTCTAAATTATGGCAATTCATGGAAACCTTTGGAACATGGTGTTCACTTAGGTTAAGAGATCTATTAATAGCCTAGTTTATGCTTTGGCTAGACACGGAGTGCAATCAAATCAATTGTACCGGGGAACTATTCCCCTAGAAAACTGAAGTGGAAATGTAAAGAATAAATGTGAGTTGAGTTAGGTAGAGGGTTGTTGCATGCAATTATTGTATTTATTTGAAACTCTATTCTAAAATTGGATCATCATCAATAAAAAAAACCCTTGGGTGTTTCGAATTAGGTTTTGCCTAGGCCACACCTAGGGGAAAAAAATTTAATCTTGTTATAATGTCATTACCGCTGCTGGTTCGATATCAATGGCTACGGAAAATGTAGGACTGTCAACAGGTCAATTCCAAGTAGAACAGGAACTGACCCAACAAGAAATACTAAGGATTCATAACCGAACCAATCAGTTCTTGGGACAATCAGGTCTGACCTGATGGACCTAATTATAATAAACCTGTTGAAAATATTATGTGTGAATAGCTCCTCAGTCCCCATAGTTTCTGGATTTTTCTTGACTAAGATACCCCTCTTTTTGAATTTAGTCCCCCACTATTGTGAGGGTAGAAATTGTAATTTGAATATTACTTTTTAGTGCATCTTATTCCCTCATTAAGTCACATATTTAAGGCATTAACTCTCATTCTCTCTCATTGCATCCAATATTTAAGGCACTTTTGTCTATCATCATTAAATTCCACTAACTAAATCAATGAACACTAATATTAATAATATAAAATCTATATTTTAAAATCAACTAAAAATGAAACCAGTTTTTATAGGTGGCGCATAAGTAGTTATGACAAGTGAACCCACGATACCATAATTAAATACTAAAAATTTAAAAATACATAAAAACATAAATAAAAAAGTAAAAATTGTAGACACATCTTTAATATTATATATTTATCTTATTAAACAAAAGCAAGTATGATAAATAGGAAGTATTTTTATTAATGATGGAAATGGAATGCGATATTTAAAACTAATCCATAAATGAGACCATTTTCCTCCTAGAGTGGTGGGTCAATAGTTCAACCACCATTCAAATCAATGGGTCGACCCATGGAATTGGAATTTGCTCCTCACAAGCACACCTCACACTGACATCACAGCCACATCCCACCGTGTATTGGGAACATCTCCCATGAATAATAACACACAAGTACGGGAGATGTTCCCAATGTGCGGTTGGGATGTGTTGTGAGGTTGGTATGAGGAGCACTTTGTGATGAGCAGATCCAAAATATTTTTTCTTAAAAGGAAAAAATACATAAAATAAAAAAATTAGACACATTTCTAATATTATATATTAATTCATATTAAAAAAGATAAGTGTGATAAACAAGAATTACTTTTATTAATGATGTAATATTGTAATGAAATACAAATTTAAAACCAAATGGGTCAACTGTCTAAGTGGTGGGTCAATCCATGATGTTATAACTGAATAGTAAAATTTAAAAAATATAGAAATACAAAAAATTAGTAGAAAATTTGGTACATCTCTAAAAAATTAAAATAGACAGAAATACTAAAACCTATAAAAACAGAAAAAGCTTATAGAAAAATTAAGATATATCCTTGATATTATACATTCGTCACATTATATAAAACATAATTGTTTTTATTGATAGTTAAAATTGAGTAAAAATTTTAAAATTTACATAAAAATAAATCCGTTTTTTGTGTTATATCAAACAGAACAGCTTATGATATCATAATTAAATAATAAAATTTTAAAATTAGATAAAAATTTAAAAGATTATAGAATAAATTTTAAAAAAATTCTAGATATATCTCTGATATTATTATTATTATTATTATAACCTTTGTCGTCGTTGTCGTTATCATCATAAACACCACTATCATCAAAGATTGCCACACACACACACATATATAGCTCAGGTCAGGTTTGAGTTGGTTCAGGACTAAGTAGAACTGGTTCCGAACCGATAATAATCGGGACAACATATTAGGAACCAGAATTGATCCATTGGTTCTAGTTCCTAGAACCAGAACTGACCCAATTGGTTAGGGTCTAGTTGGGCCGGACCTGACCCATTGACAGCCCTAGGAAAAGGGGGTGGGAGAGAAGGAGAAGAAGAGTAGGAGAGAGAGTGGCCATCAGCAGTTCGGGGCTCTCCATTTGTCACCAGAGGACAAAGCTGTTTAGTAGCTTGGGCGATTCAGGTTTGGGTTTGGTGAAGAACACCCCAACAACCTACCTTTTTTTTTTTGAAGAATCAAGAAAAAATTCATTAAAAGGAAAAAGAGTCACATCCTAACATCCTTGGTTGTCTAGATGACACACCGCATACATTCTCAAAACTTCAAATTGAAAATGATTCTACATTACAAGGCTGTAAATCAAGGGTATTCCAGAAATTTTCCAACAAATCTGCCTTAGATACTTGATCAAAATCTGGAAGTCTGAGAACCCATTCTGAAATCATATTTGTCACTGCAGCTACCATGTATTCAGTGTTGTTTGATCTATTCTCAAAAATTCTTCTATTTCTCCCTCCATATAGACCAACATACTGCAAAAGGGACACAACTGCACATCATCCTAGCTCTCTTACTGCCTCTGAGTTTTGGCCACAAAGAGACTATTTCTGCTGAAGTCAATGGATTGAACCCACTTACCCCAATTGGAAAAGAGAAGTACTTCCATATGAAACTTACTATACTGCATGAAAAGAACAAATGGAAAACTGTTTCTTCCTCCTGATTATAGATATAACACCAGCTGGCAAGATGTAAACCTCTAGATTTCAGGTGATCAGAGGTTAGGAAATAGGATGCTGTCATGAGCTACCAGCCATGAAAAAAACCCTTGGGGGGGCTGGGCTACCCCAAATTCCTTTTATCTGGTCTGAACCTCTTTCTTCTCTTGTTAAAGCTTTGTAGAATGAATTAACTGTAAATCTGCCTTCCTTATATTCTTTCCACCAAAGACCATAACATCTCTAGAAATGCTGGTTCCTTCTAATTTTTCCAGAAGCATAATAATACACTCCTCCACTTCTTGATCTGGAAGAGGCCTTCTAAACTTTGGATTCCAGATCAGTTGCTCCCCTCTCCACTCCATTGTTTTAAAAGACATGGGAGGCAAACGCCTGGAGGTGCACCTCGAAAACATCCCAAGGCGTATGATAGAGGCACTGATACCTCTGAGGCGTATGCCTCAGGTGCAAGAGGCATACACCTTATATGCCTTTTTCACGAGGTGTGCTAGAGGCGTATGCCTCATGTGCCTCATGCACATTTCATATAAAAAGACAGAAAAAAAGAAAAAAGAAAGAAAAAAAAAATGAAAGGAAAAGAAAGGGAAGGGAAAGGAAAAGAAAGAGAATAAAAAAAAGATAAAAGGAAAGAAAAGAAAAGGAAAGGGAAGGGAAGAAAAGATAAGGGGAAGGAAAGTGGGATGGGGGCTTTGCCCCCGGACCCCCTTGGCTGGGGGGCTTCGCTTCCCAGACCCCCCAGCCCCACTTTTTCAATGCAGCCCAGTTTAGTTTTTTTTTCCCGACAAGAACCCCCCCTCCTCCCCCCCCTTTCAACTGGTGCTATGCATCTTCATTCTTCTTAATATAAAAGTTTTTTATTAAAAATAAAGAAAAATGAGATCCTCGTTCCTCTTCTTCCTCCTCCACCTTCCTCCCCATCCTCCTCCTCTTAAGGAGGCTCACGCCTCCTTGTGTTCAGGAGGTTTATGCCTCTTATGTTTTGAATTACGCCTCACGCCTCTAGGTAGTGGAATGCCTCACATCACGCCTCCGCGTTTTAAAACATTGCTCCACTCATAGCATTGGGCTATTGGGACTTGTTGTTCTGTTAGCTTGTATAATCTTGGGCACACCTCACATAACTTCCCTATTTCAAGCCACTCTAGAGCCTTCCCCCACTTTAAACTTAACTAATTTTCTGAAATCTTGATTGAAACTTAACCAACAACCTACTTCCAGGGGAAAAAATAGGTAGTTATCAGATATTGGAAGAACATCCCCAACACAAACACTTCTATATTTTTAGAGGCTTTGAAAAGTAGAAAAGCATATCCTCCACTTTTTAGATTCCATACCTGAAAAATAGCTTTTTGACTTTTCAGACATCAGACTTTAGAGTTATCAAAAACTACCTTAGTATTCATATTTCTTCCACACTCATTTTTTGGACATGTTTTTTCTTGATCGCCCAATACTTTGCTCCATACAACATTGCTGGCCTCATAACTGTTTTGTAGAATTTTCCTTTCAGCTTAAGTGCTATTTGCCTTTAATATAAGACTCTAGATACACCCCTCCATTTTGGCCATCCTACTCTAATTGTATGATCAACATCCTTCTTAATTGCCCCTTTGTTATGAATTATTGAACCGAGGTAATGGAAGAGGTTGCATCGTGTTATCTCTTGGTCTCTAATCCTGTGTGCCTTGATTTGCACTCCTATTATTATTATTATTATTATTATTATGTTCTGTTTTAGTTCTACTTATTTTAAAACCTCTTGTTTCTATTGTATTTATCCATAAACCTAATTCTGCACTTAATCCTTATCTAGTTTCATCAATTAAATACTATGCCATTGGCAAACAACAAATACCATGGGACTCCTCTTGAATATGTTTAGTCTATTCATCTATGACTAGTGCAAATAAATAAGGACCAAGTGCTGAGCCTTGGTGACGACCAATCATAATTGTAAAATCCGATGTCTGTCGCATAGGTGTTCTAACATTGGTTTTTGCACCCTCATACACATCCTTAATTAGGTCCACATACCTATTTGGAACAATGTTTTAAAATGCAGAGGCGTGATGCGAGGCGTTCCACTACCTAGAGGTCTGAGGCGTAGTTCAGAACGCAAGAGGCGTAAGCCTCCCGAACACGAGGCGTAAGCCTCCTTAAGAGGAGGGGGGTTAGGAGGAGGAAGGGGGATCTCATTTTTTCTTTATTTTTAATAAAAATCTTTTATATTAAGAAGAATAAGATGCATAACATTAGTTAAAAGATAAAAAAATCTTTTACCTTTTTTTCCTTTCCTTTCCTTTTCTCTTTTTTTTTTCTTCTCTTTCCTTTTCTTTCCCTTCCCTTTCTTTTCCTTTCCTTTCCTTTCTTTTTTTTTTCTTTTTTCTTTTTTTTTGGTCTTTTTATATAAGATGTGCATGAGGTGCATGAGGCGTACGCCTTAGAGGTGTCAGCGCCTCTAGCATACACCTTAGGGCATTTTGGGAGCGCCTCCAGGCGTACACCTTCCACGCCTTTTAAAACACTGATTTGGAATTTCTTTCTTTTCCAAAAGCCACCATGTTGTCTTTCTAGGGACTCTATCATATGCTTTCTTTGGATCAGTGTATGGTATATGAAGATCGGTCTTCTTCTCTTTAAACTTTTCTATCATCTCAATAGAAAGATGGCTTCCATGGTTGATCTCCCTGGCATATACCCAAATTGGTTTTATGATATACTTGTTTCATGTTATAAACTCTGCCCAATTATTCTCTCCCAATGTTTAGCTAGGCATACATAATAAGCCTACCTTTCCCATACCTTTCCACACTTATATTGGGATACCATCATGTCCTAATGTGTTTTCCTTCTGTATTCTTTTCCCTCTATTCTCTTAATTTAATGAAGTTGATGTTATTGATAAAAAAAAATGTGTTTCCCTTCATCTTGTTTAGTGCCTCCTATATGGGCATCATACTTTCAATAATAAAGTTACCTGGTTTTAACTAATAATTGTAGAACACCAATGGACCTTACTTTCTTGCCCTCTGGTTGTCATCATTAAATCACAGTAGAACACCAATGGACCTTACTTTCTTACTTAAGCTAATTTGCTTCTTGGCAGTCTTTATGTACCTGAGTTCCTTCTAGGTTTGAAAATTCTCTTCGGAATTATAGGTAGCACAGTATGCATCAGATGGCGGCAATGGTAAAGCAGCTTATGATGATGTTGATCAATGCCTCAGGTACTACGGCTTCTTTGAAAATGAAATCTGTGTATTTCCTAAGAAATTTCTTTAAATAAAAATGCAGGCTGCATATTCAATTTTTCACTATCACTGCTACAAGACATTGTTTAATGTTTAATCTTAATACAATGACCAATAAATTTAATACAGTTAGCATGCACTTGGGGAACTGGATCCAACCATGCATCTACTAAGTAGATGTCTGTCTATTCTTTTTCTTTTTCTTTTTGACAGGTAAAGGCATAAATTGTTTTTTAAGTAGGGTGAATGGACAAATGTCAATATAAAAGGCCTCAGGAAGAGTTTACAAAGGTTTACACTTTACAGTATCTTGCTACATCCCCTCTCTTCTGACCCATTTTAGCCAAACTATCTGGTACATTATTTTTCCATTGGAATCCCCATTAGGCAGACCGTGCATTCCAGTACTGTAAGTCTTATCTCCCTGGTACTGTAGGGTAGCTGGCTTGCCTAGAGTCTCCACTAGGCGATCAACCATTTGGATCTGCCACACTGTTAACTCCATGTGGCAGGTCATATAAGAAACCTCCCTACTTAACCTGATTAAAACCTTTTTCCCTGAAAATAGCAGAATAAACCAGAAAAAAAAATGTACTAGTAATACATACTAGGATGTAAATGAGAAGGCAAAAGCAAAAAACTGCTTTATATTGTACCATACTACACCAAAAAACCCATAACAGTATCCTAAATATATAGACACACACCATCCTCCCATTTGGACTGATACATTTAATGTCTATTTACAATTTTTTTAAGTTGCTATGACAAGATAACTCAAGCAAGCGGATGTCCAATGTGTTTTTCATTTAGCATCTGCTCTGGTTCTCTCTGCCAGGGAAGTTTCAGTACACTTTTGGTGCCTAGATATAAAATAACATGTTATTCTGAACCGTTAAAATCAAATTGGTACCAGTGTTTTAAAACATGGAGGCGTGACGCGAGGTGTTCCACTACCTAGAGGCATGAGGTGTAATTCAGAATGCAAGAGGCGTAAGGGGGGGTCTTGTCGAAGCGAAGGCGAGCGAGCGAAGCGAAGGCAACCCCCAGCCGAAGGGGCAGGGGGCAAACCATTTTCTTTCCCCTTATCTTTTCCTCCCTTCCCTTTCATTTTCTTTTCTTTCCTTTTCTCTTTTTTTCTTCTCTTTCCTTTCCTTTTCTTTCCCTTTCTTTTCTTTTCTTTTCCTTTCCTTTCCTTTTTTCCTTCTTTTTTTTTCTGTATTTTCATATCAGATGTGCATGAGGTGCAAGAGGCATACGCCTCTAGCACGCCTCATGAGAAAAGCGCAAGAGGCGTACGCCTCAGAGGTGTCAGCGCCTCTGGCATACACCTCAGGGCGTTTTGGGAGCGCCTCTAGGCGTACGCCTCCCACGCCTTTTAAAACACTGATTGGTACTAGATGCTCCTGCAGTGTGGCTTCCAGTCAATTTGGTGCTGCCCTACTTAGAATTTGTATAGGGAACAACTCTAAATCTATAAGCAAACTCCCACTAACCTTTAATTGCATAATAGTATTGCTGAGATGTTCCTTTCTTGGGACAGAATCACAGAATATCTATATTGTTACTGATGCTCACTTGTCAAGAATAATAGTACAAATATGTAATAATTACTCTGCTAAACCAACTTTTTCATACTATTCTTTTCTTTATATTTTCCAAAAGAGCCTTGGAAGAACTGGATTCTTTGCTTCTACGTGCAACAAGAAATGATCCAGGTGCCTCAGTTGAAGCAATGAAAGTAAAAATCAGTATAGCTCTGGGTGCAATGGACAGGTATACGATCTTTTTACCTCTCTCCATTTAACATATATTTTGCCTATAGGTCTATTTTGGTCTTTCTTTGCAAACCAAGATTCTAATAGATCTGGGGGAAGGAACTGAATTTAACATAATCTTTGTAACCTTTTTCTCTAGTCTCCTTCAAACTGTACCTCCTGCTGTGCTAGATAAAGGGAAGGCGATTGCAGATGCTTATAAGATGCCAGTGAAAGATCTGGAGCCTGAAAGCTTAGACCCAGAAATGAAGCAGTTAGAATCAATATTATGAGCCACGTTTTGAGTTTCTTTCCCCCACCACTGTTGATTGAAATTGTACTTAATTGTCAAATGAAAATCTGCATATTAATATTTAATAATTATTAAAGGATGTCACGGGTTTCTAAATTTATTTTGAGAGTTCTGGTACCCGTTTCATCCATATTAAAACAATCATCCGACACCATTAATACTGGCATTTACAACTAAACCACATATTTAGCTCAATGCTTCCGACTTCTGAGGATACGGCATGAGATGCATGTATTGCACTAACAATGGCCTTCATCACCGGGTGTCTGATACGAGAACCTCAGGCATATTACTATGCGCTGAGAGTTTCTGAGATATCATTTGCGGAGATAGCCAGGAGCACCTCCCCCACTCCCCGTTTGTTGCGCCATAAGACCAAGATGCGTTAGTCTTTCTCTAGTGCATGCATTTGCATCTGAAGTCTGAACAATGAACTATCTAAAATTGCCTGGTCTTTCAGGATTTGTGCTTTCAAAGCTCAACAGCACAAAGCCCCAATTCTAGGCTTTGTGCTTTGAGACTTAAGAAGTATTTTGTCTTCAGATTACAGCGTTGTATAAGCAATTCTTACTCAACACTCCAAACAGTTCGTAAGTTTACGGTACAAAGTTACAAACTACAAAATCGTTAAATATGCATCCAAACAGCTAGGGCTAATGATGCCTAGTTGTCAAACAACACCAAATAAATGTTTATTAACTATTTTTTCGTTTTTTCAAGATAAGTTCAGTATAAAATGTTTATAAAATAGATGCTATGTCACCACCAAGCAATAATAACTCTTGATTTCAGAATAATAACTCAAATCCTTAGTAGACTATATTCCGATAAAGAGTAAACAGCTCTATCTTTTTTCTCCATTTCCATAGGAAGTTAATTTTAGTCTAGTATATTACCTAAAAAAAAATAGTCTAGTATTAACTGACGACAAAGATGCCCACTACAAGATTGAACCGTCCAGATCTCTCTTTTTCTATATGTTTACAACTCATGCATATTAACTTGTATGATCTAATTTTAGCCAAGCAAGATGAGACAGACTATTGTGTCCCACAAATTGCAGAAAGACTCATGAATCTGATCGAGTGGGTTCAAGGTGGTAAAAAATTTTAGCACTGCATAAAAGAAGAAATAGTAAGAAAAATACAACAACAGATGTGAAACATGTAAAGAAGAGGTCCGGTAACAACTGATCGAATAAATCAACTCTTAGGAGACTAGAGTCTGTATGGACTACAAAGCAAGGTTCAAAGTATCGACACGCATTGGCCTGTATTGGTTGATACGTATCGTTCTGGCACCCCACCGATACACCCCTAGTCTGACCGGTTCAGGGTGTGGCGAAGACCTAAATCGGCTCCCTTGAACCAGTTGGCAAAAAAAATAAAAAAAAACACCAAAAGGAGTACCGATATTTTGAACCTTGCTACAAAGTTGTACAGTCCAATCAAGGTTCAAAATTTTGATACGATACACCTCGTATCAAGCGTATCATATCATATCTGTGGCTTAATGATACACCTCTATAGGGGTTGTTCTGGGTCTGACCTGGTTCAGGGGGTAGACTAACCTTAAACCGGCTCTTCTGAACCTATTTCCAAGGTTCAAATCCAGGACCCCTCCGATACACCCCTACTAGGGGCGTATCGGAGGTCTGACCAGTTCAGGGGGTAGAGGAGACCTAAACCAGCTGATAGGGGCGTATCAGGCATATCAATATTTTGAACTTTGCCTATTTCAAGGAAAAAAAGGGAGAGCGAGCTTCGATACAGGCCGATACACCCCCTGTATCGATATTTTAAACATTGAGTCCAATCAATACACCTATCACACACCGATTCCTTGGTTCAGAAGAAAATGTAAGGAATAGAGAAAAAAATGTACAGCAAATGTTCAAACATTGGTAGCATAGGCGTTTTTTAGGCCTGATTTTCGACGGGAAAAAAAAAAAAAACACCCGCCCAACTAGCATGTATTATCCATTTTTCAAGTATTTTGCTGCAGAGACGGGTAGGCACGGAACAACGATTTACTGTTTGGTATGGTGATTTTTATTTAATGCCAATCCAATGGTCTAGATTCTTCATTTGTTTCAAGTATTTTTCAAACATATGGTGATGCATGTTAATCCTATATCCTCCATTTGTTTAATGCCAATCCAATGGTCTAGATTCTTCATATGACCATTTTACATTGTTTATCAATAAAATTCAAATCCAACGATTAAATTTGTTATTGGATTAGATCCAACACTTCTGCATGAATAATGGCATGTATTACTCGTATATTTTTGCCATTTGCTGTTCATTAGTATTTTGAACTACATTATCCAGTGGTTTCAACCTGGTAAATGTTCGTGATCTTCCAATAGCATTTTCATGACTAATAACTGTCATAGATATTTGTTTAACAGCGCTTTCAGCCTCATAAATCTGATTCCTCCTCAATTAACTAACTGTTCCAACCTCCTAAATCTGTGATTTGAGGCTTTAGGCAACGAAAAAAATGGATGAGGCTTCAGACAACTTGTTCCAAAGAAGGATGAGGGTTTGGACAACTGTTATGGTACTGTGAGATGAGTTTCTTCATGAAAACGGGGAGGAAAAACAATAGAAATAATATGCATGCTTATTGCCGTTACCGGCGATGGCCGAACGATGAAGAATTGCAGTGACCTCGTTCAACTCTAGAAACCTAGAATGAAGGTACAATGAGATAATATGAGTTTTCATGTTAAAACAAAAAGGAGAAAAATTGTATGTATGCTTACCAGCATCGGCAATGGTGAGGAGTTGCAGCGGTGGGGGCTTGATGACGAAGAAGACAGGGTATGGATGGAAAACCATCAAAACCCTATTTATGAAAAAATTGTTGCACAAAATGAATTAGTGTGCACTCAAAAGCATGGTCGTATGCATTTAACATGGGAAAATTTCTCAATATCTTGTACTTTGGGTCTAGTGTCACTTTGGTCCTTGAACTTTAAAATGCGATAATTCAGTACCTGAATTTTCAAAATGTGACAATCTAATACTTGTCATTAAATAGCTGTTAATCAGCCATTAAGTGATATTAAAAGACACAAATGCCCTTCGAATTTCATCTAATTTTCTTTATCAATTATGCATTTGACCAAAAAAATTAATAGTCCCAAATCCTTGCTTCTTCTATTCAAGAAAGTTAGGGTCATCAAAATGTCCACTTAAATGTAACCCCAACTTTCTTGAATGGAAGAAGCAAGGATTGGGGACTATTAATTTTTTCGGTCAATATTTGCATAATTGATAAAGAAAATTAGATGATACTCGAATGGCATTTGTATCTTTTAAAATGTCACTTAGCAGCCGATTAACAGTTAGTTAACGGCAGGTACTGGATTGTCATGTTTTGAAAATTTAGGTACTAAATTATCATATTTCAGGGACCAAAGTGACACTAGACTCAAAGTACAGGGTACTAATCGGGAACTTTCTCATTTAACATTAATAAACACATGCAATATACATTGAAGGTGGGGGGCTTGACAACAAAGAAGAAGACGGGGTATGGATGAAAAACCATCAAAGCCCTATTTATGAAAAAAAAATTGTTGCACAAAATGAATTAGTCTATTGAGAAGCATCAGAACATTCCTATGCATTAAACAATAATAGACACATGGGATACACATCGACCCCGCATCACTCAGCTGTTGGGGGCAATGGTGGGCCGATACATGAAACGCCAAAATTGATGTTTCTTTTATTAAGCTTATTTTGATTTATGAGGCAATAGCGCTTTTTTTCTAAACTGCTTGAATCAAACATTTTAGGTGATGTTTGGCATCGATATTGTTTTTTTTAGAAAACGATGTTATGTAGGCACCACATCGTAGAAAGTGGTGCTTCAAACAACACCCTCTTGTTTGATATCATTTTTCTAGAAAAAAACGTTGCTCTTAACCATGCCTTGAAAATTGGGAAAGTGTGGTATGGAGCAATGTCAAATTCGGTGTTTTCTAGGAAAATGACACGTTGTTGCTAGTGGTGCAATGATGTGGCATCATCTTGGACATTAGATAAATAGATCAATGTTGAAAACATTGCTACCAGCAACGGTATCAAACAAAACCAGCGTTATTTTCTCAGAAAACAACATATGTAATAGCACTAATTCCAGATAAAAAATAAGCACTTACAATTCCACATGCCCAACACCATTTTTATGAGAAAACGGTGCGATATTTCCAGCACCAATGCCAAATGCCTACGTAATTTATTCAAAAAAAACGGAAATGTTGAACTAGCTCCAACGTAGCACAGTTTTTTTTTTTTTTAAACGACATCAACACCAAACATCCCTTTTAATAATCCTGCTTTCCCTCTCTTTAATAATTTTTAAATTCAAATCATCCAACCGTACAATTTTGGGAATATGGGTGATATCATGTGTCTATAGCATATAGTTCAATCTTAAAATAAATTATATTGATTTTCTCCGTATCTATCTTAAACATAATATATCTCATAAAATTATATTTCCACTACTTTGAACATAGAATGCAGCAGATGGTGATTCCTCTCAATTTTTAAAGTTGATATGCCTTGCCCTTGCTTGATGATATAGACTTGAAAACACGAGGCAAAGAATATAGTGTGAAAACTGAATCACAGCCATTTCCCTTCTTATATATCTCTGGAATTAACTGATCATGTCAATGACAAGGGAGAAGTCTGTCACCAAATTAACGAAATAGCAGCAGCTTTATGGCCGCCTCATTAACCGAACAACATAATAGGGTCCAATCCAGCACCGGCACCGCTCAATGTTGTACATCAGTTTTCTTAATTTTTATTATTTTTATTACTATTATGTGAACTAAAATATTAATTAATATAGATATGAAAAAGATAGCTCTGCGTTTCCTTTGATTTTCCTGAATTAATTTGCTAGCTTAATTTTGGGTTTCGGTGACAGCCACAGCCACAGTCAAGGACCCTGCATATTACGCGCCCTTGCACCGAACTATCAATGAAGGTGACTGGAATGCAGTGGAAGAGTTCTTTAAATCGAACTCGGATGCCAAAATCGTCTCAATTTCTGACAGGTCCGAGACGGCTCTTCATTTGGCGGTATTTGCAGGAAATGGAAAGATGGTGGAGAAGCTGGTGGATGTGATGCCTGCAGAAGCGTTGGAATTGAAAGAATCATCGGGCAGGACGGCTTTTGCTTACGCAGCCTTGGCCGGAGATGTCAGGGCCGCGATGGCGATGGTGAGAAAGAACCCAGAGTTGCCACAAATTAGATCCAATATTGGTATGTCGCCCATCGCCTTTGCAGCCCTCAACCGTCAAAAGGATATGGTGTGATATCTTGTGCGACTCACCAAAGATCAATATCTCAGTCCTTTTCTTGGCTCTGATGGTGCTCTACTTCTCAATCATATCATTTTCGCAGATTTATATGGTATGTTATGTTTTATATATATTAGTATTAGTAAATTTGTTTGTGCATTTATACGTGATATTATTTTTAAGAAAAAATATTTATAATTCATGAATAGTTTTTAAATCATTATTGAGTAATTTCTGAAATGAGAGTAAAGGATATATATATTCTCTTTGTGCCTACTGTGTGAAAATTCCAGAAAAAAATAGACATTCACTTTTTTGCGTTGCTCGTCAGCCTCCCTCTTAATTTATGGCCTTTGTATTGTATCTTCACATTTTCCTTTTCTTGTGGATATAACCTTACCTATGAGTTCGAATCAGCTCCCCACAAGTTGCTCCCACAACGTCCCACAACACATTTTAACCGTATATTGAGAACATTTTCCAATGATAATATCATCATTCCTAGTATATCATCGGGAGGTATTCTCAATAGACGGTAGGCAGAAATGTGCTGTGGAACGTTGTGGGGGCTGATTCGGTCTCCTTATCTATCGTCTTTGTAGGGATCTAACTCACATCTCTCATCAATAAAAATATATATTAGGCACAATCAGCTTACAGTGCAAATTTATATTGCTTTAATTTGGTGTAAATGCATGGGTGTGCAAATGGATTGAATGTAATAAATTCAGGATATTACGTATTTCTGCTTCAGATTTGATTTTGTCTGTTATTCATTTGACAAACAAGTGAAGTAGGAAGCAAACATGCATGGTGTACTCTCTGGCAGGAAGGTCAGGTGGTGCAAATTTTTCATGAATTTTTTAGATGCAAAATTTACATTGCCATTGAGTGCAAATAAGACAATAAAAAAAATACTAATTTTGTATCAGATAAAAAATATAAATCATAATTACAAACAAATGGATGCAAAATCTGTATCTATTTCAGGTTTGCACCGTAATTAGAACCTTAGACTTAGTAGGCTCAGTTTGGAAGGAGTACAAATACAAATTTGTGGAGTACAAAACCTTGTTTTTGTATTATTTTGTATATATGTATTTACAATCTACATATTTGTATTTATACTCTTTATAAATTGAGCCTTGGAAGGAGTACAAATGCAAATATGTATAGTGCAAAACCTTATATTTTGTATGTATTTACATTCTACATATTTGTATTTGTACTCCTTCCAAACTGAGCCTTAGGATTTAAAATAAACTCGTGTTTTGGTAGATTAAGCACATAGGAAGTGTCTTAATCTTACAAATTACTATAAAAACAAATAAGCAAATAACAAAAAGAAATAAAGAAAGTTTAAAAAATTAATTATTTATAATTTATATATTTAAAATGAACTCATATTTTGGTAGATTAAGCACATAGGAAGTGTCTTAATCTTACAAATTATTATAAAAACAAATAAGCAAATAACAAAAAGAAATAAAGAAAGTTTAAAAAATTAATTATTTATAATTTATATATGTACAATAAATGTGTGTAAATATAAAGTATTAAATTTATCAATTATAAACTTTACATAATTATCAATCGAATGTCGATTATAACATCAAAATCTGGAATAATTAGATTTGGAGTCAAATCAGGTATTTCAGAGTCCACTTACAGCCCAAGTGTTGGTGTTAGCATTATTCTTATGGGAAAATCTATGATATGGAAAAGATATGGTATGGAAGGAGTTTTGACCAATCAAAACCCACCCATGAATTTTGATAAATCACACCATGCTAAGATTGTATTATTGGTCAGTTGTTTTTCAGTTATCATATCTTTTCCATATCATAGTCGAACCCTATTCTTATTTGATTGGACGCATTAATTGATTATTATTGAATTCACGTATGCTAAGGTCATAGTACTTATTCCTTGCAACCCCAAATTAAAAACAAACATCATAGGGGGCATTCTACAACATGGATGTTTTTGTTTTTATTTGTTTTGGAATCATCACATCAGCAAAAATAAATAAATATCATGTTCTTGAACTCTGCTTTTGTTTTTAAAAGAAAAAAAAACAAGTTAGTTTTGTTTCAAAAAATAGTATATGTTTTTTAACCAACAAAATATTGGTTTTTAAAACAAAAACAATTTTTTTAGTATAGAAATTATATAATTTATGAAACATGAAGTTGAATAAACAGATTAAAACATGTTTTTGAAACCAGATTCAAGAACATATTTTTTGTTCCAGTTTTGAAAACAGAAAACACAACCAAGAATATGTTTTTTGTATTTTTGTTTTAAAAAATAATCTATTTTTAAATTAAATGGTTTTGATTTATTTTTGGAACTCCAACAGCAATAAAAACAATTCACATTGTAGAATGCCCCATAATAATTGAAAATAAAATTCGAAACATAATGTGATCTGTTTTTCATTTGCTGTGCTGGTGTGTCCGTGTTCAGTTGTGGAGTCACAACGAAGTCGCAGCAGAGCCTATGTTAAGTCAGGGTGCATTTGGAATGGGATCTTGCGGCCACATTTCCAAAGCAAGAGTTGATCGATTGCTTCCTTTGCTGGGATATAGGGGATGCAGAAAAACGATCCCACATAAAAACTGCTAATAGACAAGCAACTGAAAGCAGACGAGGATGGCGGACTCTGGCTTTTATACCAAAATGTATCCTGAATTTTTCTTGCAAGAAATAGTAGCACAAACTTCAACAGATTCCATACCCTTTTGGAAAGGTTTGATCAATGTAGAATATCCATATTCTATTAGAAATTTTTTCAAGACAGGAAGAATTGAATGAAGAAGTTGTCAGGTGACTCAGGTCTTTAACCAAAGCAAATAAATCTGATCTTCTAACCAACGAGAACTCTCCTTTTCAACTACCTGAAGGAAGAAACAGAGCTTGCATCAGTCTTGAAAAACAAAAAAATAAAACCAGGAAGATGGCTAAAGAATCAAATTGGTCATATCACCTGAAAACCCATCTTATGGTACAATGCCCATGCAGGCAGGTTATCTCCATGAACATGCACAAATATATTTGCCACACCTGCTAAATACAAGTTAAAAAATAAAAAATAAAGGGAATAATTCATACTGTTTGGTTTATAATCGAAATCAGAACCAAAATTCTTTGGAATCAGAATCAAAATGATCTATTCCCTTCATCAGTTTGGTTCAGACTAAAATTAGAAACGAATTCAGAATTAAAATTGGTTGGAATGGATTCTCATTTCCAGGGGAAGGAGAAGAAATGACCATTCTCTAATATGCGGATGCCATTCCACCAGGAATGAAAATTAGATTCCAATTTTATCCAATCAAACAGTTTGAATTCCTGCAAACCAAACGCCAATAAACACTGAACAATGTTTCAACGAGTGTGACTACGGTGACATATGCATACCATTTGACTTGGCAGATTCAATAGCAAAATACAGCATGTTACTTGCAATCCCTTGGCGACGTGCAAATTTGGCTACACACAAGTTGGCTATATAGCCGTATTTGCAAGGTCTCCCTCTGTTTATTCTGGAAAGTATCAGAGCCTTCACGGGTTCCTATTAATTGGAGGAATTAATCAACAATTGATTATTTCTTCTAGTGATTAATTTGATCCCCACATTAAATAGATCCATCACAACATATTTTACCCCTGGATGCATCTCTCCTTGCAACGCCTCCTGGATGTTTAAATCTAGAGTTCCAACTACAGTGCGTTGTACATTCCTCTCTTCTTTCTTTACCTAAGGATGATTTTAAACAACATTGCATAAGAATCCCTTGTTACCTAAATTGAAGAATAAAAAAAAATAATGTGAAAGTGTTTGCTTTGTAGCTTAGAACTCACTTCACCAATGTTTTGATGAATTTGCATGCACCAATCTCACAGCATGTTCTAGCCGTAAATTAGGAACATCACCCATACAAATATATTATTATTCATGGGAGATGTTCCTAATACACAATGATGTGGCTGTGAGGTCAGTGTCTATATGAGGACCAGATCTCAATTCCGTTTTAATATTATGATTTATGACGTTCATTTGCGATAGACCACTAAATAAGGCAGTGTACAGTGGGTTAGGAAACCATCAGTCTATATATATATTTGGTAACAGATGTATTCATTCCTAATTGATTTATATAGCCTATTGTACATGTCTTATTTGCAACAGATTTCAACTGTGCCAATTTGGATCAAGGTTCAAAGTATTGATACATATCAGCTAATACGTATCGTTTGGAACCTCTCCAATACATCTCTACAGTAGGTGCATTGGGGGTCTAACTGGTTCAGAGGGTGAAGGAGCCCTAAATCGCCCCCTAAACCGATTTTAAGTAAAACAAAATATTGATTCACCCGATATACCCCTACCCATATCTATATTTTGAACCTTGATCTGTATTAAATTTATCACGGAGATGAATAGGTGAAGCAAACATTTGATGTCATACCGCAACAAGACAAATACACTCGTGGGCATGCTGCCCGCTGCATCTTCTTTTTAGTGCATTGAATTCCTACAGATGATATAATATAGTTAGAACTTACAAGTAGAAAGACTCAAAGACATGAGAAAATTTTGGCTGTTTAACTTCAATGAGATTGCATTTCCAACTGGTGTTTGGTTTAAAACTGGCTTGTTCACATTTTATTGTGGTCAAATGCGATCATGGTCGTAAGATATCTTTTCTCAAGTTCAATTGCTTTAGCTGTCAGAAGCAGGGCTCTCCCCGTATATGATGTGTCATGTATAGAGGTGTAAAGTGGGCCATGCTAGGCCAGCACGGCATGGCCCGTGGGCGGCCTGCTGTGGTGTGTCGCCTTCTCCGATGAAAATTTTGGGGGTTGGTCTGGGCTCATGTGGGCCATGTTAGGCTGGTTTGTGAGCCAAGCCTTAGGTTAGGTCGGGCTCTGTATCGGGCCAAAGTTATTTATTTAAAAATTTGACCAAAAAAACTTAAAATTTTAATTTTATATGAATTTTGTGTATAAAATTGCTTATATATGTGATAATTAAATAAATTAGTATAATAAAATTAAAAAAATTATTTATTTTATTAATATATTATATACTATATATTATTATATAATTATAATATATAAATATATATAATATATATGGGTTGGGCTGCAGGTTGGGCCGTGCCAGCCCGTGGACCTAAAATCCCAGGCCCAGCATGGCCCACATGGTCATGCCGGGCCGGTCCAAGTTCATGCTGGGGAGGCACAGCCCGATTTTACACCTATTGTGTAAAATCCCGGATTTGCTGCACCTATTGTGCAGTGTGCACTTCCATTAGGAGGGCTTTCATTTTGTTGCTTCAGCTTCTATAACTAAGGTAAAAGCTACTTAAAAATCCGGTAAACACTTATGGCCCATTTGGTTCATAGGAATAGGGGTTTGAAATTGGAATCAATAGCTGTTTAATTGGGTGGAAGCAGAATCGCATTCTTATTCCTGATGGAATAACATTCCCCCATTTAAGAGAATGACAATTCTCTCTCTCTCTCTTGGGAATAAAATCCTATTCCAACTGATTCTAATTCTCATTCCAAATTTTGTCTGAACCAGACTATGAGAATAGACTATTCTGATTCTGATTTCAAGGGACTATGATTCTGATTCCAAATATGAACCAAAGGGACCCTTAGATGATACTCCTTTTTTTCTTTTGTATGTGTGTGTCCTTGTTAAGCTACAGTAACTCAATTATCACTTAAGCCCCCCCCCCAGGTGCCAAATGGGGTCTAAATCATGAATCGAAAAGAAAGGCCTAAATAAGAAGCACAACTGCATGATTAGACATCATCTAAGTATATGGAAATAAAATAGCATTAAAATATTACCTGCTCTGTATATTTCCTTTTATAGTTATCAACATAACTGCATTAAGAAGGAAAATTTGTGACCAGGATGCCACATAAATAATGAATCCATTTTTATGTATATACCAGCAAAATTATGATATATGTGAGGCACGGCTCTCCCTAGGATTAGCTGTCTATGGAGATACACTAGTTCATATAAATACAAATTCTATTCAGGCCCCAATCAAGCTGCTATGGAGAAGCCGCGTTGGTTGAGCATGTGAGAATTGCTCAACTAGCATTTCGAAAGTTTTGCACTCAAACTAAGCTTATGACTCAGTTTGGAAGGAATATAAATACAAATATATATAATGCAAAATTTTAGGGTCCGTTTGGTTCCTAGTTGGAATCAGAATCAAAATCCTCCGAAATTAGAATTGGAATGGTCCATTCCCATAGTCTGTTTGGTTCAGACATGAATGGGAATGGGAATTAAAATCAGCGGGAATAGGATTTCATTCTCAAGAGAGAGGCAGGGAATGGCCATTCCCTCAAATGGGGGAATGTCATTCCAGTAGGAATGGGAATAGGATTCCTATTTCGCCTAACCAAACAGCTGGAATCAGAATAGTCCATTCCGATTCCGATTTCAGACCCCTATTCCTACAAACCAAGCGGACCCTTATAATACAAATACAAATATGTATTATTTTATATGTATTTATAATGTGCAAATTTATATTTATACTCTTTCCAAACTGAACCTATATATTTTTATTCAATGGAAGATATTATTGATGCATAGCTGCTTCGAGCCGTGAGGACGAAATGCGAATTCATCACAATCACAGACACTGAGAACTTATCGAGTTATTGGCCGGATAAGAACTGCCCACTTCCTAGATTTGGTGGGTTTTCTACCAAATTTTCAGATAAAGAAAGGGGTGGAACTGTGGAAGGCAATTTGGTTTAAACACAAACCGCTCAATTGGTCGACCCTCCCAGTGGCTTTCAGCTCTCAACCAAGCCGCTGTCTACCACAAAACAAAAAAACAGTCAACAGGCTCACAGCCATAAACTTGTCAAGAAAAGGAAATAGAGCAAAGGGGCAAAAAAAAAAGAAAAATTCATGGTCGTGGTTCCATCTTGTATTAAGACCACATCTGACCTCACCTACCCAGTACTCTTCATCGAGAAAGGCCTCTCGAACCACAAATTCTCCGAATTCCATCATCTGGCTTTGCCCCCGATCGCACTCTTGATTTGATGACGGCAACCGGTCGAACCGGAGACCCGACGAACATGCGGTGTGAAGTTGGGTAGCTGAAGGGGTATGAACCTCCGAGATGGAGAGTTTTCCCCTTTCTCGCGTTTGTGAAGCTACCGGAGTGATCTTCCTGTAAATGGCGATGTGGATCGAGAAAAATCACTCCAATCTTACAGTGTTGCTTAGAGTTAGATTATCCAGAAAATTAGATTTGAATATGAACGAGAAAAGCAGCTCCGGCTCTAGTAGAAACAGAGAATTCGAAACAAAAAGGATGTAACCATGCAAATTCTTACTCCACCTCTCTCTCTCTCTCTCTCTCTCTCCCCCCCCCCCCCCCCCCCCCCCCCCCCCCCTCTTAATTTTACTTTGATTTGAAGAAAACAACTAGAATCTCTGCAAATGATTAGTTTAAGTTTATACCAAACAAATTCAAACAGACACAAAAAGGGCAACTCACATTGTCACAGAAACAGGAGTAGCGTGAGATAGGCAATGGTTTCTGAAGCCATGGTGTGCATTTTTGAGGAAAACAGGTCTGCGAAACAAGAGTGCCATCGACATGGAAGCTTGCTATATCCAGATTTGCCTCCGCAAAAATTAAATAAAACACGTAATACTTGTTCAAGCTCTTCCGATCCTGTGACGGGGAGGAACTAAGGAGATGCCAAGAAGGTCAGGATTGTAAATTAAATCGATTGGGTCATTCACCTTCTCTAATGGTCTAGGCCGGTTCAATTCGGAAAAAATGAAAATGAAATTGAACAAGGAAATGATTTCAACTGTCCAAGTCCAAAAATATTGACTATCTTCCTTGTAGAAAGCTAAGTTGATACTTCATAGTTGGGCCTAGACCTGTTCATGGGCCGGGTAGCCCGATGGCCTGGCCCGCACCCCGGTCGTGCTTGGTCATATAATTAGGCCCACGGGCCTGACCTCGGGCTTAACACAAAGCCCGATTGTGTTTCAGGCCGGGCTCGGGATTTGTCAAAAAAGCCCGGCCCGAGCTCGGCCCGGCCCGACTCAGTATTATATATTTTATAAAATATATAATATGTATTTTATATATTATATAAAWTATATAAATAATATAATATTTATTAAAATATATATTTATAATTTAATATATATATATAT